TATGCAAAGACAATGTTGGTAATAGATGTTAACAGCATTTACAGTTAAATTCAGCTTTTGTTTGTAATATAATTAATTACATTTAGTCAAATTTAGCTTTGTTTTGTTATAATTAGAATAAATTTAAGGGAATTGACTCATCTTGGGATTAAAAAATTTAAATTTAGCTTTTGCTGTGATAGGTTAGGTCTGGGTTTGGTATGATTGATGCAAGAAAAACACATATGTATGTAGAAAATAGCCAGATGGGCACAGAACTAATGCTATGAAATGGTCTTGGGAACGGGGTATGTTATGTGATAATTGGATATTGGAATTATATGTTAAATTTAGATGGGACAAGTCAAACGTGGTTAAATTGGCTTTGGTTGTGCTATGATACGGTAAATTTGGATAAATTTGATGGAAATTGTCTTAAATTAGACAAAATTTAGGTGAGACAGCTTAAATTTTACCAACTTTAATAAAATCTAGCTTTGGTTGTGTTATTCAGGTTGTGTAGGGTTGTGTAGGGTAGGATATATAATATCTTAATGGTAATGAACTAGCTTGTTCAGAAAATAGAGTAAGTCTATATGGGTTTGAGTTATAACTAGCTCTTGTAATGGATGGTGGTGTGAGGTCACATAGGGTTGTATGTGAGTATATGGGTGCTGATATATAGTTAGTTTAGCTTTTTATTTAGTTGAATTTGGTTAAATGTGGGGTAGTACAAGTGGAATTTTTGCTAGATTTAGTTAAATTTAGGTTTTGTTAAGATGCATGTTTGTAGAATTTCGTAAATTTGTGTAAATTAACAGATTTACTGACTTCACCTAACCCCACCTATCCCAACCTAACCTAGCCTGTTCTAACCTAACCCAACCTGCCCTAGCCTAACCCAACCTGTCCTAACCTAATATAGCTAAAGTTAAATCCAATAAGACTGTTGGACGGTTTACCTAAATAAATATGGATGACATAATTGGAAAGGATGTAACAAGGTGGTATGTATTTAATATAATGAAACTATGGATATAAATTGGGAAATACTGGTGGCAGAACAGTTAAGCATAAATTATTTTGTAAAAAATATTTATTGAGATATACGTGTTATGAGGATTATGAGCTTTGAATACAGCACTGTCAGATATACAGTTTCGTAGATAAATATCTTATGTCATTTAGAGGGGTCATCTTATGGTTAAACTTAGCATATGATAACTGATGATGCACAATTTTTTATAAAATGTCTGTGCAATGGTGTTATTGATCGTATTTTATAGCAATTTTTTTGTTTGCATTTGTGCAAGTTCTATATTAATTGTGCAATTTATGTATTATTTCTTCAAATTGTGTATTTATCCTAGATGTTTATTGATTGTATTTGTACAAGTTGTGTAATAAATATCTAAGATGTGTAATAATTTCTCAAGTTGTGTATCATTGTTGCATGATTTGTAATTGCATTTGGGGGACATGTGTATATATGCTAGTTGTTTTGTGCAAGTTGTGTATTAATTGTGCGATATATGTATTAATTGTGCGATATGTGTATTAATTATATAAGATGTGCATTAATTGCACAAGTTTTGTAATTGTATATGTGCGAATTGTGGATGTATTGTCATTTTGTGATTATTGTACAAATTGTAATTGTGTAATTATTGAACAAATTGTATATTGTGGAAAGACCTGTATTAATTATGCAAGTTGTGAATTAATTGGACATGTTTGGTAATCATATTTGCGCTATTTGTGAAAATGTGTATATGCAGTGTGTGTATTAACTGTTTTAGTGCTAGTTGTGTAAATATTGTATTTTGCAAGTTGTGTTTTATTTATATAGTGGAAACTTAAGCAATTGTATTTAGTATAATTTGTGTATATGTGTAAGTTCTGTATGAGTTGTAATTAAACAAAAATGGTCTTCCTGTGGAAATGTACTTGAATTTGGGACGTAAGCATTTTGTGAGTGATGTTCATGAACCTGTTTAATTTTTGTTTAAGTGCATTTTGAGTGTATGAGCGTATATGCAATTTGGTATATATGTGCAAATACCATATTTTGTGTAAATGTCATACCTTGAGTGTGCATGCAATATTTGTGTAAATGGCATATTTTTGTGTGTAACTGGAATATTTTGCATATAATAACATTTTGTCTATAAATAGTATATTTTGTGTGTAAATGGCATATTTAATGTGTAAATGGCATATTTTGTATGAAAATTACATATTTTATGTATGAATGGCATATTTTGTGTGTAAATGTTGTTTTTTGTGTGCAAATTATATATTTCGTGTAAAAATGCCGTTTTTTTATGTAAAGTTTTTTGTGTGTAAATGGCATATTTAGGTGAAAATTTCATACATTGTGATTAATGCAATATTTAGTGTAAATGTTTGTGTTTTATGCAATATGTTTTGTGTATTTTTAGTGTATGTGCAAGTGACATTTTATGTATGGCGATAAATAATTTTTATATCTTAGTATAACTTTTATTATTTAAGCCGAGTTTTATTTCAATGCAACGTAAACACCCTGGTTCAACCATATGAACAGTAGCTAGGTGGGTATTTATACATGTAATTAGGAATGTAGATTATCGATATGTTTGTTCAGTTTGAATATGTAAGGTAATTGTCTAATATTTTTGGAGTTGCTCGAATAATATGGTAAGCTTGTGGATTGATATACATAAATATTATGTGTATTAACAACTGAAAGATTACTGAATGTACACCTCATTTATTGCTAGAATCGGACCCATATTTTCAAACGGTTTGGGTATGAATCAATTACATCCGACCAAATAGAGGTGACATGGTGCAAATGGGATTATTGACTGTGTGTGTATATAAGCACATATGTATATGTAATTATGTTGTGACAATTGGTTTGGAAACAGGATACATAATTTGTAGACATATGGGGATATTGTGTATTTTTCGAGGGTTAGGAATGATTCTGTGAAAGGGATTCTAACCCTTTTTCGAGGGTTAGGAACAGAATGTGAAATTTTAGTATACTATTTAGAAACAATGTTGCATAATTATTGTTGCGTAGAAATAGATCAAATTCAAAAAATGGTTTAGGAACTGCTGTAGATCTCCCTGCAATGATCTAACATTGCAATTACTCAGATTTCCATCTAAAATATTGTTACCATATAATATTTTTATTAAAAGCTAGAATGTAACTATTATTACTAATTCAAATTATAATTTTTTTAAAATGTATATTCTATGATCCTTAATGAGGTTAGGTTTGGGTTAGATAGTCGTGTGTGTAAATGTGTCTGTTTTTTACATGTTAGGTTAGGATGGTTAGGGTATGATAGTTAGGTCAGGAAGGATAGGTTAGGCAAAGTAGGGTCATATATGAATTGTATATGAGAACATAAGAATGGAAGTAACTGCAGAGGGCCTATTGGCCCATACTTCCTCTTGATGTTTCTATATTGGTTCGGAGTCTTGAAGTAGGTAGAATATAGTTGTGCATTTATTGGCTGTTGATTGCTGGTGTTGACTTTTTGATGTGTAGTGCCTCGCAGATGTCGAGCCGCCTGCTATCGCTGTATCTATCAATGATTTCTGTGTTTGTTAAGATTTCTCTGGTGGTGGTTTGGTTGTGAGAGGAGATTATATGTTCCTTTATGGAGCCCTGTTGTTTATGCATTGTTAATCGCCTAGAAAGAGACGTTGTTGTCTTGCCTATATACTGAGTTCTTTCGGGCTTACAGTCCCCAAGTGGGCATTTGAAGGCATAGACGACGTTGGTTTTCTTCAAGGCGTTCTGCTTTGTGTCTGGAGAGTTTTTCATGAGTGGGTTGGCCGTTTTTTTGGTTTTATAGTAAATCGTCAATTGTATTTTCTGATTTTTATCTGTAGGGATACCGTTCCTATCAACAATATTTTTCAGGACCCTTTCCTCTGTTTTATGAGTTGTCGAAAAGAAGTTCCTGTAAAATATTCTAATAGGGGTTACATGTGTTGTGTTAGTTGACTCTTCAGAGGTTACATGGCGTTTTACCTTTCTTTTTATGATGTCTACAACAAAACCATTAGAGAAACCGTTGTTGACTAGACATTGTTGAAGACTAAAATACACTAAACACTAAAATCGGGCCTCTCGTACTTTCCTTCATAACTCAAAAATTCTTTATGTCATTTATAACATTTATTTATGTTTTGATATTCTCAAAGCATCTAGTATGTCATGAGTTGGGAATAAATGACTCTTTGATGGGGTAAGGCCTGAATTTAGATGGCGATCATAACAGTGTTAAACTACAATATTCTCATTTCCTCAAGTATCCACTAATACAACCATTGTAAACCCCACGAGCCTCTGCTTTTGACATATCACCATTCATTGTTATTATTACAGGGACAAAACATTTGTTTTCATATTGTACCAGAAATTAAACATTATAGTGTATTGTGCTTACTTTATTTGTGTCTTTTTGAGAAAAGTTTTTAATATATTTTAAAATGTAAATAACAGCTCCCATGATGGTTTCTTCTTCAGATGCATGTGTGTCCTGAGGTCTTCACACGATCTGTAAACAACACTGCTGCCCTCCAGCTCCTGACCCCTCCCTCCGGCACCTGGCACTCCAGATCCTGATCCTTCGGGACCTTACACTTCAGATCCTCATACTCCACAACAGGCGATCTTCGTCCTCCTACTGGTGACCCTCCAGCTACTGGCCCATAGTTTACCTCCACCTTAAACACTCCACAAGTCAAACTCTTCTTCCAGTTACTCCACGTTGAGAAGTCCTGTCGAACCCTCCTCACAGAGTACCCCGCCCTGCTGCCCAAGCCTGTTCTAGACTGTGGTTGAGTAATTATTGTGTGTGCCTGCAACTATTGAGCAGGACTAAGTGTTGATTGAAGAAGCACTACGATTGTGGTGGGTGAGGCAGGTGTAGAGGCGAGGAGCGTGGTGGGTGAGGCAGGTGTAGAGGCGAGGAGCGTGGTGTGTGAGGCAGGTGTAGAGGCGAGGAGGTGAGGCAGGTGTAGAGGTGAGGAGCGTGGTGTGTGAGGCAGGTGTAGAGGCGAGGAGCTTGACCTGACGGTGTTGAGCAGATCATGTCAGTTGGTGTCCTTCCCTCCCGTAGATTCTTTCACTGGGAGAGCGCCAGCAAGCCTGCCATTAACCGCTGTGGTTTTCGCTCCACCTCCTTCCCTCACCCAGCTACCATTCCTCACTCGGACACCATACTTGTGCAGCACGCTCTCTACCCATGCCCACACCATCACCGTCACCACCATCCTCACCGCTCACGACGACGACACTTGACTAGCGAGTCTCCGCCTTGGCCCAGGCGCACAAGCGAGGTGCCTCCACCCTCACTTGCCTCATCTTGGTTCACTGATACCGCCAGTCTGCTGACCTCCGACTCTCTCAGTGGTGAGGGTTCCTTCTTTAGTGCTGACGCCACTATTATTACCCCTGACACACTCTTTGTTTCCTGTCGCACCTTCGTCAGCGGCAGCATGTCGTCTGCCGGGGCAGCCAGAAGCACCATTGAGAACAGCGGCAGTGGTCCATCTACAGCAGCTGCTAGGGAGGTGAAACAGTACCTCAGCCGTACTTTGTTCCCTCGTCCCTCCTCCACTCTGCATGGCTATGCCTCGCTCTATCATCGTCTGAAGAAGCTGCCAGCCTCCCACAGGAAGGCTCGGCAGGCCAAGACGCATGCGGCAGCAGATGCTGCGTCAGAGGCCATGCAGCAGGAGGCACAGCCACCCTATGACTTGGACGACGTCGACCACATCACAGAAAAGATCCATTCACCTCCCCGCATCGAAATCCATATTTATGTGCCAACTGCTACTGCTGCAGCAGCCTCAGCTGCTACTGCTCCTGAGGGGGAGACTGCTCCTGATCCATACTGATCACAGAACTAACGAATCATGTTTCGTGTGGAACGTTGACGTTAAATCAACAATAACTGATCACAGCACTGACGCATCATGTCTCAAGTGTAGAGAAGTTGACATTGCACAGATAAAACAAAAGCAGTCTCCCACCATAAGAGGAGGGATGTTGAGACGACCTGCAAAGAAATTATGTTCTTGAACGAAATGACCACCATTTGCACCGTGATGTTATTGTCGGCTCTAGCAAGACAAAGAAAGCAGAGTTTGATTAGTTCAGTCCATGCAAATGTTTGCTCTAGGCCCAAAGAGCTGTCCTGGAATGGTCAAGGGGCTTCCATTGCCATATTTAGAATAATGAACACAGTACACGAACGACCCATTAAAGACTATGCTGCCTCAGTTCAATGCACGGACTTCTCCAGCGATATATAAAGGATTGAAATCATATGAAATGAATCCATAACAATAATTCCTGGTGTTGAAATGACAACAGAAGTACCGAAGGTTAAGCAAGAAATAAGTTTTCCTTGTGATCTAAACAGGATAAAAGAAAATGTATTGCTAACTTTGCTCTTAAGAAGAAAAAAGACCATACTGACGTTTCCAAGAAAAACAGCATTGTTCGAATTATTGGAGGAAACAAGAGCAGAATAGAACTGCAAAATCAATCAGTATGCAACCTGAACAAATTGCACATACTTCAGTGACCCCTGTCAGCTCTTAGCTGTAGATATTTAACTTCCTTCGGGAGAAGAGTCATGCATAATTCCATTATACGAGATGTGAATGGAATAGTGCAACATATTGCCACAAGAAATATACTGTAAAGTCTTAAAGTCTTCATTGATAAGGCAAGAAACAAATCAGATCGAGTCTTAAGTTGCTGGCCCTGCTAATCCTACTAATCGCAGGGCTGGAGGAACTAGTAGATTATATTATTATTAATATAGTGTAATGAGGAATAGTGCCCCAAAATGAAAAGCATTGATTGGGAAGCTAGTCATCTCAAGACAAGCATAACACAGACAGACCCGCAATGATGTCATCTCAAGACAAGCATAACACAGGCACACCCGCAATGATGTCATCTCAAGACAAGCATAACACAGGCACACCCGCAATGATGTCATCTCAAGACAAGCATAACACAGGCACACCCGCAATGATGTCATCTCAAGACAAGCATAACACAGGCAGACCCGCAATGATGTCATCTCAAGACAAGCATAACACAGCCACACCCGCAATGATGTCATCTCAAGACAAGCATAACACAGGCAGACCCGCAATGATGTCATCTCAAGACAAGCATAACACAGGCACACCCGCAATGATGTCATCTCAAGACAAGCATAACACAGCCACACCCGCAATGATGTCATCTCAAGACAAGCATAACACAGGCACACCCGCAATGATGTCATCTCAAGACAAGCATAACACAGCCACACCCGCAATGATGTCATCTCAAGACAAGCATAACACAGGCACACCCGCATGATGTCATCTCAAGACAAGCATAACACAGCCACACCCGGAATGATGTCATCTCAAGACAAGCATAACACAGGCAGACCCGCAATGATGAGCTGGTTTGCAAATTCGTTGAAGAAACAAACCAGAAAACAAAGGATCGGTCCCAAAAATCAGTAGAGTTGTGAAACTGCCGCCACTCACTGAAGGGTAAACTGCCGCCACTCACTGAAGGGTAAACTGCAGCCACTCACTGAAGGGTAAACTGCCGCCACTCACTGAAGGGTAAACTGCCGCCACTCACTGAAGGGTAAACTGCCGCCACTCACTGAAGGGTAAACTGCCGCCACTCACTGAAGGGTAAACTGCCGCCACTCACTGAAGGGTAAACTGCAGCCACTCACTGAAGGGTAAACTGCCGCCACTCACTGAAGGGTAAACTGCCGCCACTCACTGAAGGGTAAACTGCAGCCACTCACTGAAGGGTAAACTGCAGCCACTCACTGAAGGGTAAACTGCAGCCACTCACTGAAGGGTAAACTGCCGCCACTCACTGAAGGGTAAACTGCCGCCACTCACTGAAGGGTAAACTGCAGCCACTCACTGAAGGGTAAACTGCAGCCACTCACTGAAGGGTAAACTGCAGCCACTCACTGAAGGGTAAACTGCAGCCACTCACTGAAGGGTAAACTGCCGCCACGCACTGAAGGGTAAACTGCAGCCACTCACTGAAGGGTAAACTGCAGCCACTCACTGAAGGGTAAACTGCAGCCACTCACTGAAGGGTAAACTGCAGCCACTCACTGAAGGGTAAACTGCAGCCACTCACTGAAGGGTAAACTGCAGCCACTCACTGAAGGGTAAACTGCAGCCACTCACTGAAGGGTAAACTGCCGCCACTCACTGAAGGGTAAACTGCCGCCACTCACTGAAGGGTAAACTGCCGCCACTCACTGAAGGGTAAACTGCCGCCACTCACTGAAGGGTAAACTGCCGCCACTCACTGAAGGGTAAACTGCCGCCACTCACTGAAGGGTAAACTGCCGCCACTCACTGAAGGGTAACTGCCGCCACTCACTGAAGGGTGAACTGCAGCCACTCACTGAAGGGTAAACTGCAGCCACTCACTGAAGGGTGAACTGCAGCCACTCACTGAAGGGTAAACTGCCGCCACTCACTGAAGGGTGAACTGCAGCCACTCACTGAAGGGTAAACTGCAGCCACTCACTGAAGGGTAAACTGCAGCCACTCACTGAAGGGTAAACTGCAGCCACTCACTGAAGGGTGAACTGCCGCCACTCACTGAAGGGTTGTGAAACTGCAGCCACTCACTGTAGGGTAAACTGCAGCCACTCACTGAAGAGTAAACTGCAGCCACTCACTGAAGGGTAAACTGCAGCCACTCACTGAAGGGTAAACTGCAGCCACTCACTGAAGGGTAAACTGCAGCCACTCACTGAAGGGTAAACTGCGGCCACTCACTGAAGGGTAAACTGCCGCCACTCACTGAAGGGTAAACTGCAGCCACTCACTGAAGGGTAAACTGCAGCCACTCACTGAAGGGTAAACTGCAGCCACTCACTGAAGGGTAAACTGCAGCCACTCACTGAAGGGTAAACTGCAGCCACTCACTGAAGGGCGAACTGCAGCCACTCACTGAAGGGTAAACTGCAGCCACTCACTGAAGGGTAAACTGCAGCCACTCACTAGAAGGGTAAACTGCAGCCACTCACTGAAGGGTAAACTGCAGCCACTCACTGAAGGGTAAACTGCAGCCACTCACTGAAGGGTAAACTGCAGCCACTCACTGAAGGGTAAACTGCAGCCACTCACTGAAGGGTAAACTGCAGCCACTCACTGAAGGGCGAACTGCAGCCACTCACTGAAGGGTAAACTGCAGCCACTCACTGAAGGGTAAACTGCAGCCACTCACTGAAGGGCGAACTGCAGCCACTCACTGAAGGGTAAACTGCAGCCACTCACTGAAGGGTAAACTGCAGCCACTCACTGAAGGGTAAACTGCAGCCACTCACTGAAGGATAAACTGCAGCCACTCACTGAAGGGCAAACTGCAGCCACTCACTGAAGGGCGAACTGCAGCCACTCACTGAAGGGTAAACTGCAGCCACTCACTGAAGGGTAAACTGCAGCCACTCACTGAAGGGTAAACTGCAGCCACTCACTGAAGGGTAAACTGCCGCCACTCACTGAAGGGTAAACTGCGGCCACTCACTGAAGGGTGATGAAACTGCCGCCACTCACTGAAGGGTAAACTGCCGCCACTCACTGAAGGGTAAACTGCCGCCACTCACTGAAGGGTAAACTGCAGCCACTCACTGAAGGGTAAACTGCCGCCACTCACTGAAGGGCGAACTGCAGCCACTCACTGAAGGGCGAACTGCAGCCACTCACTGAAGGGCGAACTGCAGCCACTCACTGAAGGGCGAACTGCAGCCACTCACTGAAGGGTAAACTGCAGCCACTCACTGAAGGGTAAACTGCAGCCACTCACTGAAGGGTAAACTGCAGCCACTCACTGAAGGGTAAACTGCAGCCACTCACTGAAGGGTAAACTGCAGCCACTCACTGAAGGGTAAACTGCAGCCACTCACTGAAGGGTGAACTGCCGCCACTCACTGTAGAGTTGTGAAACTGCAGCCACTCACTGAAGGGTAAACTGCAGCCACTCACTGAAGGGTAAACTGCAGCCACTCACTGAAGGGTGATGAAACTGCAGCCACTCACTGAAGGGCGAACTGCAGCCACTCACTGAAGGGTGAACTGCAGCCACTCACTGTAGAGTTGTGAAACTGCAGCCACTCACTGTAGAGTTGTGAAACTGCAGCCACTCACTGTAGAGTTGTGAAACTGCAGCCACTCACTGAAGGGCGATATTAAATCCGTTTGTATTTCCTCTCAATGTTGAAATTTGTGGAAATGAGCAAGCGGAAGTGTTGTCTGCTTAATGAGCTCATGTTGAAAAGTTCATATTAATACACGATCAAATCAGTGGGATCCTCAGACTGTAACAGCAAAGAAACACTGTAAGCAAAGAACAGAAGTGTAAGTCAGTGAATATTTACGCTTCAACGATACAACTGTAGCAAATAGGAGGTTGTTGAAGACGATTGTCTATAAATAGCTAGAATTTATCTTGGAAATAAGAACAAGTGAAATGTGGCATGTAAATGGTAGCTGAGTAAATTAGATCCCGAACGAACACGATGAGAGACAGACATCGTCTAAATACCTATTAAAAATTGCAAATCCAAGAAATGTTCATTTGTGATATATAAATATCCTACATTGTTTTAGTTTGGAAAAATTATTTGTAACATATAGAAACTGAATTTAATTAATTCCTGCTACATAACATAAGCTTGAGGATTGGTTAATGTTAATTCCCTTGCTTGTTAAACTGTTCATTGTACAGAGTTAATATAGTCCCAGCTGCGTCTGGGTACAAGTGACGGGATGAACAACCCAGCGGGTTTTCTTCCAATCGGGGAATGTTCTTAAACTTTTCCTGGCGGTCTGTTCACTCACAAGATGAGTGAAGCTGCCCAATAAACTCGTCCCTCGGGGCAAAATGAAAATAAACTTTCGTTTTTGTTTAAAGACAAGTTGACAGGTTATACCAAAACTAATATTAGCACCCATGACAATACACACATAAATCACGCAAACGTGATATTCATCAATAAGAAATTTGAGAAAATCCATTTAGGCTGTGAGGTGACGCGAACTTGTCACCAAGGTATTGCCAGCCGCATACACTACCAATGTGTCATCGCTGACTTTTTTTTAAAGTCTTAAAACCAGATTTCAGCTGATATCACAGAAAAATTGAAGGTCCCTCTCTAGAGCAAGTCCAAGTTTTATGTAGGACCCCCACGCCATTCACCCTTTACCCTTCACCCGAGTACTTGGGGACCTTATGTAAAACTTGGACAGTTTACAGCAGGGGTCCCAAGACTTCCTGTAATTCCAGAAGAAATCAAGTTGAAAGATCAACCATGTCTGTCATGGTACACATATGCACCTTGAAATGCCCCGGTAGTGGAGTCTCATCGCCTCACAGACAAGGAGAAGTTTCTCAACCAAGCCAATTCTGTAGCAACACTAATATAATTATCCACCAGACCACCAGCTACTAGTGTTGCTACACTGCATTAACCTTCCCCCACCCCCCCAGCCACCAGTGTTACTAGACAAACATTAAACCCGCCCCCCCCCAGCCACCAGTGTGTCTACACTAACATTACCCCCCCCCCAGCCACCAGTGTGTCTACACTAACATTATCCCCCCCCCCCAGCCACCAGTGTGGCTACACTAACATTACCCCCCCCCCCCCAGCCACCAGTGTGTCTACACTAACATTACCCGCCCCCCCAGCCACCAGTGTGTCTACACTAACATTACCCCCCCCCCCCCAGCCACCAGTGTGGCTACACTAACATTACCCCCCCCCCCCCAGCCACCAGTGTGTCTACACTAACATTACCCCCCTCCAGCCACCAGTGTGTCTACACTAACATTACCCCCCCTCCAGCCACCAGTGTGTCTACACTAACATTACCCCCCCCCAGCCACCAGTGTGTCTACACTAACATTACCCCCCCCCCCAGCCACCATTGTGGCTACACTAACATTAACCCCCCCCCCCCCAGCCACCAGTGTGGCTACACTAACATTATCCTCCCCCAGCCACCAGTGTGGCTACACTAACATTACCCCCCCACCCCCCAGCCACCAGTGTCTACACTAACATTACCCCCCCCCCCCAGCCACCAGTGTGGCTACACTAACATTACCCCTCCCCCCCCAGCCAACAGTGTGTCTACACTAACATTATCTTCCCCCAGCCACCAGTGTGTCTACACTAACATTATCCTCCCCCAGCCAACAGTGTGTCTACACTAACATTACCCCCTCCCCAGCCAACAGTGTGTCTACACTAACATTATCCTCCCCCAGCCACCAGTGTGGCTACACTAACATTACCCCCCCACCCCCCAGCCACCAGTGTCTACACTAACATTACCCCCCCCCCCAGCCAACAGTGTGTCCACACTAACATTACCCCTCCCCCCCTCCCCAGCCAACAGTGTGTCTACACTAACATTATCCTCCCCCAGCCAACAGTGTGTCTACACTAACATTACCCCCCCCCAGCCAACAGTGTGTCTACACTAACATTATCCTCCCCCAGCCAACAGTGTGTCTACACTAACATTATCCTCCCCCAGCCAACAGTTTGTCTACACTAACATTACCCCTCGGCAGACACAACTATCACAAGCAAGGAAAATAAGCCTAAGCAGGGAGATCGAGGAAATAGAGCAAACGGTCAAGCGATCATTTGAGTCTGAGAAAATGGAATTGGAACAGAAAGCTATACAAGAGATAAGGAAAAATCCAAGATATTTTTTCACATACTCAAAATCAAAAACCTCGACCAGTATTGGACTGTTAATTACAAATGAAGGTACGTACACTGATGGCAATAAAGAGATTAGTGAAATTCTAAGAAGCCAGTATGAGGCTATGTTTAGCTCACCAATAAACAGCATTAAAGTTGATGACCCAGACAGCTTCTTTATGAATGACATTCAAGCTGCAGATAATATAACGGATATTACCACAAACTCGGAAGTCTTTGTAAGAGAAATTAACTATATGCCTATGCACTCAGCTCCTGGGCCTGACTCATGGAATTCAATATTCATATAGAAATGTAAAGTACCAGTAGCGAGAGCACTCGGCGTAATATGGACAAAGAGCCTGGATACAGGGGAGATACCAGCAGCACTTAAATCTGCAGATATAGCTCCGTTGCACAAGGGGGGAGGGAGTAAAGCCTTGGCAAAAAATTATAAGCCAGTTGCACTAACATCACACATAATAAAAGTGTTTGAAAGATTGATTACGAATCAAATTTCTAGTTTTATGGAAAACAATGAATTGCACAACCGAGGACAACATGGATTTAGAGCGGGAAGATCCTGTCTGTCACAGTTACTCAACCACTTTGACAAAATCACAGAAGCCCTAGAA